CACACACACACACACACACACACACACACACACACACACACACACACACACATTATTTCAGCACTTTATTCTACAGTGCGTCTGGAAAGTATTCACCACGCTTCACTTGTTCCACCTTTTCTCATGTTTCACCCTTATTCCAAAATGGATTAAGTCCTTTTTTGCCTCAAACATCTACGCACAATGCGGCATAATGACAAAGTGGGAAAATGTATTACAAATGAAGAAAATTAAACTGTAACATGTACGTTGGTATTCACAGCCTTTGCCATGACACTCAAAATTAAGCTCAGGTCCATCCTGTTTCCACTGATCATCTATCAAATGTTTCTACAACTGTACTGGAGTCCACCTGTGGCAAGTTCAGTTAATTGGACGTGATTTGGAAAGGCATACACATGTCTATATGAGGTCCCAGTGCATGTCAGAATACAAACCAGGCCATGAAGTCCTCAGAGACTTCAGGAAGGATAGGTAGAAAAGCATCCATCAAAGCATCCTTCAGAGTGACCATCAGGAAGAACCTGATGGTCACTCTGAAAGAGCTCCAGCATTCTGGTCTGGAGAGAGGAGAACTTTACAGCAGGGGAGCCATTTCTTCTCACTCCAGCAATCAGGTGTGTATCTCAGTGTGACCAGACAGAAGCCACTCCTCACTAAAAGGCACATGACATCCCACCTGGAGTTTGCCAAAAGGCACCTCTTTGGCCTGAATGCCAAGAATCATATCTGAAGGAAATTAGACAGCCCTCATCACCTGGTTAATACCATGCCTACAGTGAAGCATGGTGGTGGCAGCAGGAAGTGGGAAACTAGTAAGAGTGAGGGAAAGATGAATGCAGCGATGTACAGAGACATCCCCCATGATAATCTGCTCCAGAGCACTCTAGACCTCCGTCTGGGGTGAAATTCCCTAAATAACCAACCCGCCAACCGGTAGGTTCCCGCGCTACCGCCTCAGCCACCCTCTCCCAATCGGTCACAGTTTTCAGTCTCTTACCCCAGTGTGGAAAACCATGCATGTTTTAGCAAACTTAAATAAAATATAAAACACAGCTCACGGCTAAAGGCCTGCTTCTCTCGTGCGATTTCACTTGCAGATTGAACCTGTCAGGGGTCACAAAGCATTTCGCAGGCACTGCTCTGTGTCTGTTGAAACGAATGCTCAGTTGCACCTAATTACTTCAAGAAAGCCAGTGACCTTGTGATGTTCACAGCATTGTCTCACCCAGCTCCAGATAAATTTCTTATCGCACCCAAATAATGCCTGTGGGATTGCATAGCACTTTTATCTACAACAGGAGATTTTCAAACAGGCAGCACACTGTTATTTTCTTTTCCCAGCACAGTTTGCTTCATGTAAACTAAAAAAAAAAGAAGAAGAAATCCAAAAACCAAGCCAAATGTTTGCTAGTTGAGGAAGAAAGAGATAACTTTTGACCCACTTAGGGTCTGTCAATTTCATTTTTGTATGTTTTTGTGTGAATCTGCAATGCTCACCCCACATATGAAGAGATTTGCATTGTATTTGTACTTGGTCCAAATGGCAGAATGAAATCTTTCTGTTTAATATTTGCAGAAATTTCTTTTCAGCCTACAACCACTGCTTTATATTCTGCTCTCTGCAGTGGGCACCCACATCCAGGCGCAAGTCTTTAACCGAGAAGAAGTTGTAGGCTGCGTTGGTAGAATATAGTCCAAATGAGTCAGGAGTAGCTAGTCCCCCTTTCGTGGGGGACAGAATTAGGACATCAGCTTCACACTGTGGAGACAGCACGAGGCATATGGCTCACACAAAACTTGAGCTGAATTCAAAAAATGTGTTTGTTCATCGAGTCCTCTCAACTGTCCTAATTATGTCGTCCAGTCAGACAGTCGACTGTATTTCCTTATTAGAGCTGGTGTCCCGACGAGGCCCTGGCCTCTATGACCAGAGGCCATGTTGTAGATTGGAACTGGGTAAAATGGCAGCTCTCCCAACTCAGAGGAACTGGGGAATGGCAAAGGAGGAAGCCAATTAATATTTGAACAATACACCCTCTGTGGCCAGAGATTGACTGACTAAACTGCTAGCTGTCAGAGCAGTTATCTCCAATACCGCCATGTGGCTTGGAATTCACAATGCCCTGTTTAGAAAGGGATTTCACATCCGTTGCTCATTTTTGCATTCTGTACAAAAATGGGTACAGACACAATTAACACTGGGGATAAAAATGAAATGAATATAAATAAGGCTGAGGGACAACACGTCAAAGTTATCACACACCTGAGGAGCAAATGCTCTTTTCTAACTTTTATTTGTCTTTGGATCCGAAAGGCGCCGAAGAGAGCAAAGTCATTAGGAACCCAATGCCCTAACTTTCAATCGAAAGTGTTGCTGTAATAACCATTGCCAAAATGTTACTGTCTGAAATGACGCTCAAAACTGAGCATAAAAGTGTGCTTTACTTGTTTAACAAGGAGGCTTATGAGTACGTTTCAAAATTGTTTTTGCCAACCTGGCAAGAGTTGATTTCTGTATTTGAAGTCCTCCCCTTCAAAGGTGGTTTTTGAGTACATTAAAGTAGATTATAAACCAGTGAGATCTGCAAAGTTAAACCATGGTCATCTCAAGAGGTTTTAGACATGATTGCACAGTGATTATAGAAATCTCAGAGTCCGACTTTTAATAGTTCAGCTGAACCAGATGTTTTCTGTTGTTAAACTAGCCATTCAGTTTTGCAGAGGACTGGAATAGACTCCAGTTCCCTTGGATAAGTGGAAGAGGGTGGATGGATGGATGGATGGATTTTTATCGGATTTTACCAGCAATGGTACAAATAAACACTATGAGACAAAAATCAACCTTAGAATAAGCTTAGATTTTATTATACATCTGTCAACCTTTAGATGATTCATGATGAGAGATCACCAGCCCTGCAGCGAATCCCCAGTTTTCCTTGTAAAATCAGGTGGCTTTTCTACCTATCCAATTTCCGTCAGCCTTTGAAAATAATCAACTTCCTGTAATACAAAATGGACCAATTTAATTCCACATGGGCTTAATCACTACCTGCTTTTATACTGGTTAGAATATTGTAAGGTTAATAATGAATGACTGAGTTGAGTACATATTCAAGCTTTAAGCAAAGAGATGTTAAATGATTGTCACGCCATAGCCTAAAGCCATTTTTGTACATGCACTGCAGCCCAACATTTCTACATGGGTACCACATTAGCCTCACATGCAGAGATGCGTGTGAGACCATAAACATCCAGTACAGTTAGAGCCTGCCAGCTCACTATTGCCAGTTCTGTGTTATGTCTGATTGTGCCAATCTGCAATGATATGAGAGCCGTCTGATAACAGTCAGATCTGTTCACAGCAACTGAATCCTGCCTCCTGTGCACTGCCTAGACCTAACTAAAAACTACCAAAGTTGCAATATTTGACAATGAAAACTTTCAAATAATGTCTCGATCTGATTCTCCTGAAATATTGTGAACAGGCTTATATTAGCTGCACACATCCTTACCATCCACGGAGACAAGCTGACTGACCAGTCTGATATCGCGGCATGAAAGGGCAACTTCCGATTGGTTCACATTGATGTGCACTGCAGTAGACTAACAATTAGCTGTTCAAAAGATTTGCAAAGCCGTTTGCAAAGACAGGGGCCTTCCATTACTTACTATCACATTAGAATTAGATCGAAACCTTGATCTCTAGTCGGAAATCAGTTGTGTCACAAGGTAGAAAAGGAGTGTGATGCAATGCCATTTCAGTGTGATGTCAGACTAGCTAATCAGTAAACAACACTTATGAAGCTTTAATAGGGTTTTTTGACCTAGCTGTAGTCAGGAGCTGTTATAATGAAGTTATAGCACTGCAAAGCCTCTTAAGAAGGAGATCAGGGATGGTGCGTGATTCAAGAAGTAATTACTGTTTGCATAGTGTTGTTGGTCTCATTCTAATGTTAAAAAAAATAAGGTTAGATATGGAAAAATCACCAGACTTAAACCAGTGATGTAGCAAATCACAAAGTTTTCCATTTCTGGCTGTCATTGTTCTTTATCCAGCAGGTGTTAATTGCCTTGTTTAGTGCCTTGTTAGCGTTTTAATTGTAATTTGTGTTTCAGGGTAAATGTAATCTTATTGGTGTCCAGTCAGTGTGGGCCCCACAGACCGCTGATCAATGGTGTGCACTCTCCACAGAAAGCCACGGTGCTGTCAATTACGTTGTTTACCACAGCTTGATGACCAATTTCATTGAATCTAGTGTCTGTTTCTTTGCGTTGGAGAAGTTAAATTGCTTTATTATTACTAGACCATCTGTTCTTAATAATTAACAGCATTAATATGTTAATCTCCACTGGATCGGGAAGGGATGATAAGGCAGAAATGGTGAAGTTACCGATTTGTCATAAATTAGACCTGCATGTTACCTCTGTGCCACACTGCTGATTCAACCTTAAAATCCTACACCATGTGGAAACAAGACAAACATCCCCCGATCCACAAACAGCAAAGTAAAGCTCATTAGTTTCCATCGGCGGCGGTGCACGAGGTGGTGTCAGCCGACTCCTCAGCCACCTGTCAAAAAGTTGTGGGGAGTTCATTTGAAGTTTGCCTTTTGTTTTCACTCTTCCTTGTCTGGTGTAACATTTCAGTGGCATTTTGACGGGTTTATCTGTAGGATTGGAGGCTGATGAGGCAAACCTTGGCGTGTTTGGACTTCCTGATTAGTTGACACAAAACAGGGAGATTGTGGCATGTGGTGAGAAAGCTCGGCGCTGTCATGGGAAATGCACCTGTTCAAGTTGAGTGAATTTCTCTCTGGCTTTCCCTCTGCCTCGCTTGTTCCTCGCTCTGTTTCTCCCTTTTCAGTGGAACTTGTGCAGCCTTCATGTTGTGGTAGACCTATCAATACCGTTTTTTTAAGGAAAAATAGAGAAATCCTGATAAAATGGGGTAAAAGGTGTAACAGCTTACCACATTGTGCGCATTGAACTCTCTGCTCATCTTAACCTCGTCCCTGCCTCTGCAGAATAAATAAGTAAAAGCAGGTAGTTGTATTGATTACATGTAGTGTGACACATGCAGGCGCGTGAGTCTGAGCTTATGAGAGCAACAATGCTTTAGTGCTCGAACGCTGGTTGAGTACCTTCGGTGTGAGTAATACGCCCATCACTCCACCAAATGATATGTTGTCAGCAATCAGTCATTTCGCTTTGTCCTCAGAAACATGATCATATAAGTAAGTTTAAAGGACTTAAAGGGAAAATATAAAGCATGCAAAGACCTGATGAAATGATGTAATCAAAAAATTCCACGTGCATCAATCATTTTTCCCATGTGAACAGGACACAGTTAAATGCTTGTAAGGCTGAATTGGAAAAAAAAATACATCCATGTGCAGTGGAGTCGCAGACTTTGAGTTGCCACGCTTGCTTCCTCGCTCTCTATCTATGTAGGGCAGCCCGTGGATCAGCTGACATCCCCATCCTCCCACACACCCACACAATCTTGTTAAAGCATGCAGTTAATCTGAAGAGGAAAAGGACTCTCATCACAACCAAGCTTTCATCACCCTATTGTATTGCCCACATCAAGCTGTCACAGGAATATCGGATTCTCCCCAAACTCAGGTGCTTAGGACGAGCGGCATCCTCCCATTGGCTCTGTGTGATGTCATTTGCCTGGGTGTGACTTCGTAAACCGGGCATTATCTAGTACTAGAAAGCATAAATGGCAGAATTAACATCCCAGTGGGAACTTTCTATTATTATTTTCTCTTCTTTTCTCTTAAAAGTCGACTCTGCCTTTGATATTTTGAACCGAATCGCTGCCACAGAGGAAATACGGCAGCGCTCTACAGGAAGTCCTCCAGAGGTGGCCCACAGTCATCGTTTTAGGGAATCTTTCCTCGTAATCTATGCATTGGACAACAGAGGGAGGAAAACACTCAAATGCTCTCTTCCACTCTCCTCCAGCACTTTACGGTTCTGTCGCTCTTTCATCGAGAGCTCGTTGAAAACAAAGAGTCCCAACTCGTCCAGAGCCCCAGCAGCTCCTATCATCACCTTGGAGGCCAGGTGAAGTGCAGCAATTTGATGAAAAACAGATACGGGGCATGTGCTGGAAAGGCCTCTGATTGAATTGCCACTCTATGCCACAGCCGCTCTTCATTCACAACCTGCGCAACACAGTGTTGCAGGCGCGGAGTGAGAGGGTCATCACGGCCCTCGTTCCACAGGAGAGGCAATGTCTGAATGGGAGGTTGGGGGGCGAGGGGGGTGAGAAGGGGAGGGGTGCAGCTGTTTATCCCCCCCTACCCCCACCGTCAACCCCCCACCTTGAAGTGGCTCGAAAACCTTGAGACTCCGGGCTTCAGCTCAAACATTTCACTGTCCTTTTAGGCTCTCAAAGAGCAGTCTCGCTTTTGTGGGCTGTGGAGCAATATCTCAAAAGCACCTTCCATCTCTCTGTATAGAGAGAAGGCGAGAGCAAATCATGTTGAACTCAAACAACTCCCACATAATCACGAGTGTGCTTTTTCAGACATAATAAAAATGCGCCGAGCTCTCAAACAGACTTCCATGGTCTGATTGTGCTCAAGAGGAAAATGAAACCTTGAAAAGTGAAGCAAGCCTCTTCACTCTTTATGAAACGTCTCCACATCGACTGCATTTGACTATTAATTACAAGCCCGCTGCCCGAAGGTGCCTACATCTTTCTAATTCATTTATCACGTGCAGTCCTGCCACCATCGAGCCCTACAGAGAGACTCAAAGAAGACGATATTACACCAAAACCAGACAAATGCCTCCTGCCGCTGCTGCTGATGCTGCTGTCGTGTTGCTGTCTCACTGTTTTGGTTTTTTTCCCTCTGTGTAACTATAGCATGTATGTTAGAGTCAAGTAAACAAAGCAGATGCTTGCTGTGCCTTGGTTGACTTGGCAACACTGCCATCTCATGGCGAGCAGAACAAAACAAACAGCACTGTGCTTTCCTCATATATCTTTATTAGAAAATGCTCATCCACCAGCAAAAAAAGACACATCATCAAATTAAAAACAAATTTATTTCATAGAACATCGAATGCCATGATTACCAACCTTATTTGGTTAAAAACACAAGGACATATCATGATGCAGTCCTACTATTCCATATACTAAGCTCTTGTTTATTGAGACCAGTTTGTCGAAGTGTAAAGTTCCCCGATGTATTTATCTTGTTTCAGCTACCTTGTTATTTGCTTCATACTATTAAAGAGATTGACAGTTCTGTGGAACTGATTTTCTCGAGCAGAGAAAGCTCCTGTGATGGAAAAACCACTTTTATCAAAGGGAGTTGCATAAATTCATCTCTGATCTTTTCAATGGGGACTTACTCTCTTTTCTTGTGCTCTGTATCTAGTCGCTGAACCTCCAGAGAGCTGAGACTGTCTCCAAACGAGGCTGAGATGTAAGAGATGGCAGATGGGTTTAGACTTCATTCTTGGTGAAAGCTATTCCCTCCCTCCTGGGGGCCGGAGTCATGCCTCACGGCATTTTGAGCCTTTCTATACCTGGACACCTTTCTGATCTTCCTCCCTCTCGGTCCCCTTTTTCATGTCTATATGACAGCTCTGCTCTTCGCAACATTCGTCTTTACCCACTTCTTCTTCCACCTCCTCCTCCTCCCTGCTGCCCCCGTGGGCTTGACACTGGAGCACCAGAGCAGTGCATCTCTCCAGCCCAGATACCTGCTGCTCACACTGCACCACAAATATTCTGTAGAGCTCCAAAAGAACGATGAGGATATTCTTGCAGGTGAAGAATATCATCAGCTGGTTGAGCACCTGCTCTTGCACCATGAGGTAGAACCGGTAGAGCAGGAACGGGCCATCTTGGAGTCCCACTGTGAGCAGCAAGCTCCAGACTTCGCTGGAGCAGCAGGAGGTGAATGAGGGTGGAGCCCCGGAGCAGCAGAAGGGACCACCCTTGCTGTCTTGAGAAGGGCCAGCCTTTGGGGGTCGTGTCTGAGTGAGAACCAGAGGAAACTGCATGAGCGCCCAAGAGAACAGGGCCAAGCCGATGATGACAACTGCCTGGTTGGTTTTGACTTCGGGCTCCTTGAAGGTGTCGAAGATGTCCAGGATGTCAGCACCCAGTCCCACATTCACCATGAGAAGCTGTGAGAGTTGGTCACGTGACATGTCCCCCTTGGGCATTAGCCAGCGACCCAGAACCAAGACTATCAGCATGGTTTGCTCCAGGCCAGCTACCCAGTTCTCTGGGTCCAGATCCTTAATCCCCTGGATAAATAAAACAGTGGAAGTCCAGTCATGTTGAGAGTGTTTGCAAGGGTTCAATGTTAATGAATAATCAAATAAACCAGCCATCTCCTCTCTGTTTTTAATATAAGTCGACTGTTTTGTGTCAAGGTTCATTAAGTTTGTCCTGAAAGCACCCACCCCTTGATATTCTACAATATTCCCAAAACGGGAATATCTTCACGTTTCAAAAGCTGCCACCCAGCCTTGAGTACAGCCATGGGGCAAAAAGCTCCCAAATCCTACATGAAAGAAATTTCACTAAGACCATCTCACAAGGGAAGAGATCTAAGAACTTTTCAAGCAGGAGCCTATCTGGACTTCATCTCTGTGTGTCTATTACACATTTCCTGCAACTAATAGTTTATCCACCCCCTTGCTAGATTTAAATCTTATCTGATATCAGGTGTTGCTTTAATGTGGCTGCGTGGAGGGTTGAGGCAGGCAGGGCAGTTTTGTTGGTGGGACGCCTACCGCCGAGATCGGGATGTGAGCCAGCAAATGAAGCTCATGGCCCGAGGAATTGTTGAAAGGCAGCTTGGACTGTAGCAGGCTTAGCTCCAGAAACCAAATGGACGGGATGACAGTACTGAGGTACAGGAAAACCATGGGGGAGAACCTAAAAGAGGATCACCAAAGGAGAGGGAAAGAGGGGGTTAGGTTATTTATAGAAATTTGCTTCTTCTTTTTTTTGCCACCCACTAAAGAAGAAAGAGTCCCTTTTTCCCCATAGGAAGCATCGAATTTCAGACAGGCAATTATTCTCATCATATATGCAAATCCCACTTGACAGTGCAAAGCCTTCTCCGTGAGGACAGAACTTCAAAGTAAGACTCAGTGAGAAAGAGAGAGGCCCGAAGAAAGCTCGCATCTGACGATGTTCAGTTCGTGAGCTTTTGAATAAGACATAGCTTGGTGTTGAATGAGGTGTGACACTAAATGCTCATATCCATTTGAAGTCAGTTTATAGTTTTTTTTCCCTTTCTTTCTTTCTTTTAAAAAAAAAAAAAAAAGCTTGTTGGTCAAAAATGAGTCGAGCCAGAAGGAGACATTTACTCCGTGAGTGGATAGGAGATGCTGTGACATTGATGTGATGGTAGGCTCATATTACAGTTCAGTGAAAGACAGCAGTAATACAGCGGAGGAATATGTTTGTCTTTGATGGACAGTGAAAGAGAGAAAGAGCTGCGGATGATAAGAGAGAATTTAGTGGCACAGAATATTGCAGGCCTTTACAAAAGCCGCCTCGGGCAGATGGGTTGTAAAGAGTTTGAAGCTACAAGTTCAGGAGTTATTTACTCCCTAACACCAAACAGGTTTGGTGTTAGGGTGTTTATAGGTTTATAAAGTCTGCCTGCATCTCACTCCCCATCCTCCCAAATCTCTTCTGTGCTTTGTACAGTGACCTTGGGTTTTAGAAAGGTGCCCACAAATTAAAATGTATTATTATTATTATTATTATTATTATTATTTAGGAAGAAGCAGAGGGCTAACATCTGGCTTAAAATTGACTGAGCCTCAGTGTGTTATGCAGAAAGGAAAATCATGTCAAATATGTTTTACCATTTCCACTCTGCATTACGGGTGCATTTCAGAGTGATGGCCATTTCCACACCCAACAGAGCCACGCCTGTCAGCAGCAGCCAATAGAGCGGCTCCTCTTTAACAGCTACAACTCTCCACACCGTCACCACCCCGTGGACAGCAAATATGAAGCGGCTCAGCAAGGCCAGCAAGACATTTAGGAGGCGACACATGGTGCACCAGAGACAACCTGCAGAGATCACTTTAGAAGCACAGAAGTGACTTTATTATCATATGTACATTTGAATATTACTAGACAGTGAAAATCGTATTTTTTCCGCACTCGCTTCACACGTTGTTATTTATTACATTTATTATACATCATTAGGTTTTCTGAAGATCACTCTTTGTTATTATGATAATTAAGGGTTTAAATTATTAGCTTAGATTTAGTAACCTGGGGGGAAAAAAATACTGTAAAAATGATGTTATTAAATTGAGACATAAAATGAAATAAAATAAAAAGAATCACAAAATATACAAAACAGCTGCAAGTGAAAAATCAAATCACTTTGATCGAAAGAAAATTTACATTTGTTTATTTACAAAAACCTAAAAGCTTACAAGTTTACAACAGTGAGTCTTTAATGTTGTTTCAAACCTTCTACAGTGTTGTGTTTGCATTATTATTGCATTTTTGAATGCAATTATAGTCCCACATGGTTCCCGCAGAGTAAAGAATGGACTACTTTAAAACAATTTGATTTTTGCAATGAAAGATTTTGCGAAATAAAAGCCACTTAACCACACTCATCATTAACCGCTGCTCATCATCACCCAGTTCGGGCTTCATTATCAGTAACTGTTGCACGATGTGCGCAAACAGCCCTCGCTGTCAGTTAGTTAGCCAGGAGGATGAAAGCCTCTGAGCTTTGGGGAAAATCAAAGCAAGCAGTGATTAGTAAGGAAGAGTTAGACAAACTGATCTGCAGTCAATATTAAAGCACTCCCAGAGGCTTTGCACG